TACTAGTGAAACAAGATAAATCCCTAATACCTGAATAATAGATTTTTCAATTATTATCAAATTGAATGAAATTAAAGTCTTACTAGAAATTTTATTATCATCCAATAAGGATTCAATAAATCTTTTTCCATTACATAATTATTAACCTATTGCTATTTTAGAGAATTTTGATTCATATCAGTTTTAATCAAATATAATAATTAAATTAACAAGTTTATTAATATATAAAATTGTTAATCATTAAGAATTAACTTTTACTCGGGTAATATAAATCATATTACAAATTCAAAGATTTTAGTTAATATTGAATTACTTTAATTGTTAAATGAATCACTAAAATAATAAGAAAATAAAGTATAAATACAACATTTATTGTTTATAAGGGATTAGTTCATTGTGCTTATAGAAAAGCATATCAGTCTTATAAATATTTCATATAATATTATTGATTATCTATAAGGTTATTAATAGAGAGTGGATTATAAAATTATCAAGAGTGGTTTTGAAGGAAATGAAATTAATTTAGATTGGAAAATTCAATGAATTTTTAAGAACTTCTTGTGAAAGGAATATATTTTTAGAATTAAAAGTCTTTGAATTTCATTTTGAGTATAATTTAAAAGTTTAAAGCCTTTTGCTGAATAAATTTTAGATGATATAATTTTTAAAATAATAGAAGATTAATCAATAGAATTAATCCAACTGATCTTAATCATTAAGTTTAATTGAATTTGATTAAATTTACAAATGTGTCTTATCTTCTATAAATTAATCTTTTTATATCTTTGGAGGGTATTTATCCTTAATGGGCATGAAATTTATATTATTTATCTATGATAAAATGATTCAAATAAGAGATATTTAAGAAAAAAGGGGATTAAATAATTAGAAGGTTCTAAATATTATTAGATTACTCTTATTTATCCAACTAATAATATCTTGATATCCAAACAATTAGATTACAGGATATAAATTAGGAAAAAATGATTATGAAAGTTTACTAAGGTATAAGATCAATAAATTCAATTTTATTTTATCCTTGATAGTAATACTTTAGCACATGAAGAAGTGATTTCAATAATAGGTTATTGGAGAATAATGAATTAGACTTTGGAATATACAAAGAGGAAAAAAACTTTAAATAATTATGCGCACACAATTTAGTTTAAGAGCTTTGTTTTTCTTAAAATGGATGGCATTTTTAGTATCAGGAGAAATAAGTAATTATTTGGGTAGGAAATTCATCACTCAAAATTAGAACATTCATTGATATTAATATATGAAGTATCGTCATGAGATAATAAAATAAAAATATTTTGGATCTATAAAACTTAGAAAAATAGCATTATAAGCTTGGGATTTGATCAATAAAGTTTTCTTTAGATTGGTAATTATTAGCTTTAGAAGGAGGATATATAGTAATAAATATATTGGGTTAGAGAGTAAATTCTAAAATTAGAAGTCAAGTATTCTAAATTATATTTACATCTTATCTATAGATATCATTAGTCAGGATTAAACAATTAAGTTAGAAGTAATACAATGAAGTTAGAGGTAATGAAATTATAAAATGGAATACTAAAATAGTTCTGTTTTTTTTATTGAAACTTTATTGAATTAATATGCATAAGTTTGTGGATGCAATGATAACTCATTATGAATTTTAGATATTTCAGATACTTCAAACATAAATTAAAAAATTATTATGTCTAAAACAGGGATATTAAAAGAGCATAAAAAGAGTGTTTCAACAGTTGCATTTTCACCAGATGAGAAGAAATTGGCATCAGCTAGCATTTTTTGGTAAATGATTATCAATTGGGATATAAAAACACTGAAAATAATACAGAATAAGTTTAAAATGTTTTTTTTAAGTCAAAGGGATTTTAGATTGTATCTGGAGAACGGGATAATATTACAAGTATTTTTGAAATAATCAAAAAAAATAAATAAAATACTTTAATGGGTATATTTATTTCTCCATTAATAAAGCCTGATTTAATAATTTTTATCTCCTACTCGATAACCATAATTTTGAAATAAAGTTTTTATATGAAATGTAAATTTATATCTACACTTTTAGATATAATATTTTGGTGATAATATTTATACACAGACAAAGCTGAGAAGGATAAAGAAATTAAAAATTATAATTAAGAGATCGTATTTAATCCCATAATTATATGGTCTCTAAAAGCAGATGTGAATAATTTAAATTAAAAATAGGAAATTTAAAAAAATTGGTTAAAAAAATAAAGCACTTAATGATAAGAAATGAAGAAGAGGTCTTTTACAAGTTTAAATAACTTACCTTTACTATTGTAGATGCTAGCCCATTTATTATCAAGGTTATGCAATTACAAAGATGGAAAGAAAAAGTAGTAAATCATTATTATCTAACAATTTAACTTGATCCTAAATATGCATATATCTAAAATAACAGAAGTGAATTTTTTAAACAAATATTGGGCAATTAATACAAATACATTAAAGAAAATGATTAAGTATTAAATAATACTTAAAAGGATTATCTATACATCAAAATCATCTATTACTTTAAAGCAATCTCGAAGTTCTCATAATTTAAATGAAATTATTGCTAGTTTAAATAAATATAATAGAATTATAAAAAGATTACTAATCAATTGAAAAATAAAAAATTTGACAGCTTAAATGATCCATTAAAATTGAACAATCATAACAATAATTAGCATTAATATTAAGCAATATATAAAGTTATAATTCAACAATTTAAAATGATATCATTAAATCAAATAATAATTAATCGCAGAATATAGCTAGATTGGTTCATTTATATCGAAAATTAAACATGTTTTATGTGGAATCAATATTGCGTAGAAAATAATCCATATTAAGCTAAGCAAATTTGGAATAGAGAAAAGAAATTATAAAAATTACATTAAGAATTTCTAAAAAAATTTATTTATCAGAATATAGAATAAGGTATTAATAATATAAGCGTAATTTATTAAAAAAGTTAAATCTAAACTACAATCTTCATGTTTATAATCACAAGAAAACTAGTTTAAAAATGCTAGAATCGATTTGTTAAATAAATTACTTAAATTATTAAGAGCTGATAGAGAAGTACAAAGAAATAAATTTCATTTGAAGTTTTTCAAGTATTCCCTTCATTTTTCTTGCTTTTTAGGAAACTTACAATAATAATCAGTGAGCTTCCTCTTTTATTTTCTCTTGGGCAAATTAGAATAATCAATAAAATTTTCTTATATAGAGGTTTCGTCTTTGTCAATAACTATTTACGCTGAACTTAGTTTTTCTATATCAGCAAGCAATCTCAACAAAGATTTTTACAAATAATATTAGAAAGCTACCAACAATTTAATTTTTTATCATTAATTCCTGAAATATAAAAATTGTAAAAATCTTCCTTCTTAAAGTCAAAATTTTATAAAAACAATTTCATTAAAATTTTAATAATTCGTTTTTAGAATAGTCGATTCTTAACAAAGTGTACTGATTTCTTAATGTTCCTCTTAAGGATTAGATAATATATTCCTAGATGTTAAGCTAATTTATTTATTTTTTGTTATTATAAATTGATTATTAAAATTCGTTTATTTTTTCTAAATATAATCATTGATCTGTATTTTTATTTATTAAAAAAATTAGTAATATTTTTTATATTAAATGTATGAATTTGAAAATTATCAGTTCAAAACTGTTAGCTCAGACCATAATTCATGTTAAGAAGGTATCAAATAACTTGAAGTGTATGATAAAATTGCCAGAACTAAATTTCAAATGACCTTCACAAAAAATAATCAAATAATTTATTCTAAAGATGGAGTAATTTTAAGAGTTTAGGAGATAAATATTTACAAAATCGATAAAAATAAGGACGCTTTTTCTCATCCAGAAGGATTAAATAATTTGGAATAAATTAATAACCTAGTATGGCAAGGAGAATATGGGTAGAATAAAATAAAAATTGGAAAATGGATTGCCATTTGGAAAGGTGAAGTTCTTAAAGAAGTAGGTGGATATTACTCTGATAATGGATAAAAACAAGGCTTATGGAAAGAACTAATTAAAAATTATTAGACGTAAGTTAGATTTATAAATTAATAAATTAGAGAAGGGTAAGGTTTTGAATTTGGATTATATTTCAATAATTTTAGGATAGGGAAATGGAATTATTTTTACAAGAATAAATAGATGTAATTATTTCAATTTATTTAGAAATGGTGGATATTATAATGACCAAAATTAAAAAAATGGCAAATGGTTTGAGCTATATAATGGGATTTGGGAGTATTTCTTAGTTTATATTGTTATTAGTAGAAGTTTCGTGGTTTATAACGGAGAATATAACAATGGTAAGAAAGTTGGTAAATGGGATATTTTATATGGAGAATTTGAAGATATTTTATAATTTTAATTGAAGTAAAAATATACATATAATACATTTTAGAGGTTGTGGGTTCTATGATGATTAAAAGTAACTAAGCATCACAGCATCTAAAAAAATTGGTAGGTGGGTTGAGTTGATTCATGATTATGGTAGGGATTCTTAAGTCTCTTATTAAGGCGAATATTAAAATGGTAAAAAAATTGGTAGATGGGATATATTTTTTCAAGTATCAGGTGACTATTGCAGATTTGAATTAATGTAAGAATAACAATTAACAAGTATTTTAGCGGGGGTGGAACTTATAAGGAGGATTATAAAGAAAATGATGCAAATTCAATTAAGATTGGCAGATGGATCGAATTGAATAATGAATTTAAAAATTGGTTATAAGTTATCATAACAGGTGAATATAAAAATGGGCATAAATTTGGTAGATGGGATATTTTATTTCGAGAATCAAGTAATAATTTAGAATTTAAAAAAATGTAAGACTAGAATTATATAAAAAATAAATATTTTAGAGGGGGCGGATAATATGATGAAGAAAGTTTGGACAGAGATTCTATTAAGATTGGTAAGTGGACTGAGCTGTATGATGGGTTTAATCAAGATACTTAAATCACCTACTCTGGTGAATATATAAAAGGTAAAAAAATTGGTAGATGGGATATTTTTCTTAAAAATTGGAGAACAATAGAGAATGAATTAATGTAACAGATATAATTTAATACTAAATATGTATTTTAGAGGTGGTGGATAATATGAAAATTAAAATTAAGAAAGTTTAGAAGAATCAACTAAAATGGGGTAATGGATAGAATTGAGTGAAAGGTTTTAGAATGCCTCTTAAATTTTTAACACTGGAGAATATAATAATGGTATTAAGATTGGAAAATGGGATGTGTTATGTAAGAAAGGGATTGACTAATTTGAATGGATGTAATAAGAATATTTAAATAAAACTAGTGGTGGTGGATCATATAATAATGAAAAATAAGATGGGTTAAAGATTGGGAAATGGATTGAATTGAGCAATTAATTCTCGAATTGGAATTAAATTACTTATAAAGGTGAATATAAAAAAGGTCAAAAGGTTGGTGTTTGGGTTATTTTATGGAATTGGTATGGAGAAAATTAATAAATGTAAATAAGAAATTTTAAAATTTAAAATAAATAGTGGTGGTGGATAGTATGATGAGAATGGCCAAAGAAGTGATAAAATTGGGATGTGGACTGATTTGAGCGATAATTTTTAATATTATTCATAAGTGATTTATAAAGGTGAATACAAAAATGGAAGGAAAGTTGGAATATGGTATGAATTAGAGAGGGATTGGAATAATATGGATGAAGGATTTTAGAAAAGATTAGCAAAAAATTATGAAATATGATAAAATATTATTGAAATATAATTATATTCTATTTTATAAATTAAAATCAATTAATATTATTAGAATTAGAATGAATCATTTAGCAATTCAAACATAAATATAAAAAAAGAAAAGGCTATTAAGTCATTCATCACTTGTTAAGAATTAATATTTATTTCGCACAGCAAATTTTTATACTCAAAGATTTGATTCATTTTAAATATAAATAGCTTTTATCTACCACATAATCATTTTATAAAAACTAAATTAGAAATAGCATATTTTATATGATTTAAAATTTTGCTACTTTAAAGTTATGTAAGATGATAATCTATAATTTATGGATCTGCTGTACCTATTTTCATTATAATTCACTTTATTAATTCTATATTCTGTAAAATTAGTTTTACATTGATTTCGAAAGACTTAGTAGTATCCAAAAATAAATTATTTCCTCAATTTAACTCTGTATTATAATAGAATAATTAAGTGATTCCCTTATTTGAACCTTTAGCATCTTTTAGATGATTAGTTCAATAATTAATTGATAAATAACTGAAATCTTAATCTGATTAGTAATTGTTGATATTAAAATTAAACCTACTCATATCTCTACTTGACTTGTTCATCATTCAAAATAACTTTAATTAACATTGAGGATTAAATGTTAGAAATTTAAGCTTTTTATAACTGCTTCAATAAATGGGAAATTATAATATGAAATAGTTAATATGATTAAATTCCGTATTTTTAAATTTATACAATTGGTTTCTGAAAAGATGGAATATATATGGCCTTAAGGAATAATAGTCAAGGTTCCTTAAATATATATTTTCCCTTTTTAAAATAATCTTTTCAATTATTTTATGTGTACTTAGGATAATATTAAATTTACTAAAATTAAAAAATACTAAGTTCATTTATGTCTTGCAATTTTTATTTCATAGAAACAAAGGGACCACTATAACATTTAAGTTAATTTTAATAAGTGGATTATCCTCTTAAATAGAATTTCCATTTAAGATTAAGGCTAAATTAAAATTAACCTTTTTTATGGAAATATTTAAATTATTCAACAACTTGTAATTCATTAAATATTTTATTTAGAGCTAACATATTGATTTTTAAAATCATTTTCATTTAAATTTGGCTTTTTAAAAGTTGAATGTTAGCAAGATTTTATATATGTGACATTTTAAGTTAATAGTTTATATTAGTTAGATTTAGAAAATAATTAATTAATTAAGCTATATAATTTGTTGTATATGAAATATGCACAACCCTTTTTGTTAAAATAGAAACTTATATTCCTATTAAGTTTGCTTTTATTTTTTTATGCAATATCTACATACAATACTACTTCAAAAATCAGGATTACTTATGAATCCTATCAAATATTGAATATAAATTTTTCATCCTTTTTTATGACTATTTAAAATTTATGATTTATAATTTGAAAATTATATATTATTGATAATTAGAATAACAATATAGTTACAATTTCAAATAATTAGATATTGAATATATAAGTTGTTTCATTATTGAATTTTCCAAGTATACAGAAATAGTTTTCAAGTTTTATTAAAATATTTTAATTTATTTCTCAATTTCAATATAGCAAAATTTGGTAGTTGTTTTGCTTGAATAACTTTCAAACTTTACAAATTTATTCACTTCTCATTTTAGCACATTTCATATACATTTAATTATCATGATTAATTGAGTTTATTGATGGTGATATAATTTAATGGTTTTATTCAAATAATTCAAAAGCTTTTAAAGTTGTTGTGTTGATTTAATAATATTTATTTATAATAAAATTAAATTTAAAATTGAACTTATAGTAGAATCCTAAGATACTATAGAAATTATTGATTTTGTAATTAGAAGAGATTTATTGAATTCCATTATAAGGTAAAAATAACAACAGATTTAGTTATAAATTTATAGGACCAATACTGCTTTAAGTATTTGTGAGATATATAATCTAAGTATCTATAAAATGTTCTCTAATTCAAATATAACTTCAATAATCTAGTTACTTAAGTAATTATTATAGCAGAAACCTAAATATTGTATATGACAAATACAAATTATTGAAAGACATAATTATTGACATCTCGAAACTGATTAATGAAATTAGTCCAAGTTTTGAATTAGAAATCTAATGATCAAATATTTAATCATTTACTCAAGTTATTAAAATATTTATGACTATCCACAATTTATGGCAAAATTAAAATTATAAACTTTCCTTCTCTTTTTCATCAAAAAGTTTTCAAGTCTTTAAGATGTAGAATCAATCTTTTTAGTATTAAATGTTTTTCAAAAATGGGATTGTACAAGATTATAAGAAATGGCAAAGTTAATATTTTTTCGAAAGGATCATACGCTATTAACTGTAAATTAATCAGAATTTAGAATATAATTCATTAAACTTATTTATTTTCATAAATTTATAATAAATAAAAAAATTAAAATCACTTTTGCTTATGGGAAATTTCAATCAAAAAAATTACAAAAATGAACAAAAAATAATCAATTCATAATAGAAATCTCCTTTTTAAATTGAATTTTTATAGTTTATAAAATAAGAGGAACGATGCAGAGCTATGTAAATCATTATGAATAATTCAATATTTATTAGTAGTTGTGGGAATTTTGTGAAAGTCTATTACTTTAAAAATGGTTCTTTATCTTTTTTATAATAAGTTAAACACAATAAATTTTCTGTTACATTCTTAAGCTTTGCAAGAAATTCTTAGTATTTCATATCCTGTTGTGATTAAATAATTAAATTCTGGTCTATAAATGGAATAAATAATCAAAGAAATATCACCAAGATAAGATAAATTGATAGTTGTTATAGTTGTTATGCAATAAGTGATTAAAATTAATAAGTCGTTGTTGGAATGGAAAAAAAAATTTAATTTATATAAATGGATGATCAATGGAAAGTAAGTTAATATATAGAAAATCATAATGATTAGATTTATAATCTAAGTTTTAATGATTCAGAAACTATATTGATTTCTTGTGGAGGAGATTATAAGATTTCAATTATACAAAATTTTAATCGATTATGGAAAATTATTTAAATTATCAATGTAGACGGGTTTGGAAATTAAGCAGCTTTTATTGGTGATAATACTTTCATATTTCATCCTTGGTGCAGTAAATAAATGTTCTAATATAAATTAATATAAAAAAACAATTAAATGTTTTATTTATCAAATTCAAGACTTATGGATGGTGAAGGAGATTTATGTAATTTATGCTTTTCATAATACATTAAGTAGAAGCAATTATTTATAAAATAAGATATGTGTTCTATTCTTATTTTTTAAGTTATTGAAAATTCAGAATTATAGTTTTTGTAATCATTAATATTTTAAAGTATTTAAATTTAAGCAACTATGAGCAATGATGGAAAATATTTAATTACTTGGGATGAAGCTACTCAAAATATTTAAGTAATAAATATTGAATATAAATGAATATAGTTTTATTCATATATAAAACTAAGTTAAAATAAGTTTATATACATAACTTTTTTAATTAAGTTTATAAGTCTTTATTAATTTTTAAAATATATTAGCCATCAAACACTTTTAAATTTAACAATTTTTAATATAGAATAAATTTTTGTTGTTGATCGATTTATTATCAATTCTATCTTATTTATCTTTG